CAGAGTAAATAAACTTGCACTTATGATGGGGGTTTTGCTGAAGGTAGAGGTGTGATTAACACCTAAATCTGTGGGAACTTGTGCAAAAATCTGCTGTCTCCAATTTCTCAGTCTTCCAAATCTAAGGTCATGAGTTCACTTCCTGCATCACTTAGCTTCATTGTCTCCTTCCGTGGCTCAAAACAAAATCCCAACAAAGTATGGCAGTCACTGTACCAGAGAAGCTGAGTAGAGGCAGAAGAATAAACTATCAAAGCACAAAGTGCCAAAGATGAGAATGGATGGTCCTCTCCTGTGTAAAAGCAAGGAGTCATTAGGGGAGTGCAGACAGATGGAAAGAACAGAGGGAGGAGAAAGGAAGGAAGAAACTCCACTTCTTGGACCTAGGCTAAAACAAGGTGAAATCAGTCTTGGGAAAAGATTGGTTGTCAGCTTCACTGCTGCTCTTTAAATACCATCTATCTACATGCCAACAATGTCCAAATGTATGTCTCCAGCCTAGACCCACCTCCCAAATTCCAGACTAGTGTGTTCAACTCAGTACTTGATATGTCCACTTGGATGCCTAACCAACCTCTCCAGCTCAACATGTCCTAAACAGATCCTGATCCTTCCTCCCCAAACCTAGGCTATCTGCAGCTTCCCCATCTCAGTGGATGGCAATCCCATCCTTCTGGTTGTTTAGGCTAGAATCTAAAAATAGGAGTCATCTGTGCTGTCTCTCTTTCTCTGTCTGGAAATACTCTTGGTTCTAGCTTCAAAAAATACCAGAATCCAATAGTTCCTCACCAACCCCACCACTACCACTCTGGTCCAATCCATCATTATCTTTTGCCTGTGTTACTGCAATAACTTCCTAGACTTCCCCGCTTCTTTTTTAACCCCTATGCACAGCAGTCTATTCTAAGCAGAGCAGCCAAGTATCCACTTAAGACATACGTTATCTTATGCCACCCTCCTGCTAAAAATTTTGCACTGGCTCCCCATTTCAATCAAATAAAACTCAAAGGTCTTTGTAGAAAGTGATCTACAAGACCCAATATGATCTAGTCCCCATTACTTCTCCTGCCTCCTCTCACTCAGTTTTTGGCACATGACTTTCCTTACCACTCTTTCTACACAATTATCCACTGCTTATTATTCATGGTTGTGTGCATACATTTTATCTCACTGTTGAGTAATATGAATAGCTAGTATTTGAAATCCCATATTTGCATAAGTTAACAAATTATGTTTACATATAACATTTCATTTAATCTTATAATAGTGTTATAAACTAAGTATTCCTTTCCCCATTTTACATACAATAAATCTGACTTCAGAGAGGTGAAACAACTTGTTGAGGGTCACGTGGTTAGTAATTGGAGTGCTTGTATTCAAATATAGGTCTCTTTGACTCAAATGGGGAAAAGGAGGATTTAATGTTGATTGATTTCTACTAGATTAAGGTCCTTACATTAATAATCTCATTTAATTACCCTTAATCTATCATTTTCCCTCCTTCCATTATGTTCTACTCCATTATACAAGGTGTCTTATACATAGCAGATGACTATAAAATGTTGATAAGCATCATCATCATCATGTCCTTACAAATTCTATTTTTAGTCTTTGCTTCAGTCATCATGGGTCATGTGCTATTTATTTCTTCATTCCTGCACTAAAGAAAGAGACTTATGGGCAGCAACACTGGATAGTTAAATTCAGTGGGCAGTAATTGCATTTCTTTTTCTTCTTTCTAAAAATTGTTACCTATTTGTTCTCAATATCTGCTCTATGGCCATTCCCAAGGGAGTTCTTGGTTCCTTGAGCTCCTACCTAATTCCCTTCCCAACAGCAATGCATTTATTCAGCTTGCCAATTATATGTTTCCAAGTGGCCTCTCAGTTCTCTTTTGTAGAAGTCAATATGGTCTAATCATTCCCTAAATAGTTCACCTATATCCTTGGATATAATCCTTTTTCTTCCTTTGCAGATACTGTTCAAAGCTTGGTCAGTTATCTAGTCAACAAGTGTTTTTTTAGTCCCTAATACAGGCCAATCCCTGATTTAGGAATTGAGAATGGCCAACTAGGACATTTTGTCCCGCAGTGGTTCTTCAATAGATGAAGATAAGATGTGAGGTTGTTTTAGTCTATTCCTGGGTTATAAATCTGAGCTAGAAGTTACCTAAGAGATTGATCAATCTCCACTTTACAGATATTAAAACTGAGCCCCCAGATTTTTAAAGGCACTTTCCAGTTTTTATACCAATTATTTTTATCCCAACAGGTTTTAAGTTTCTTAAAGATTGTGTATCCATTTTTTAAAAATACTACATTAAGCAATTTTAATGTTTCATGGTTTTGCTAATTGAAGATGCCAATTAGCGCTTCTAATTAGCATGAGTTTGTGTTACTACATTAAATTGATTTCATTTCAGCAAAATTAGAAAACCTTGACATTTTGCTGAGCCTATGCATTAATAAGAAGGCCAAACATAGTTTTTTTTTTCCCATTGTAATCCCCACAGTGTGTGTCTGTGTGTGTCTGTGCGCGCGCGCACGCCTGGACATTCAAAAAGTACAGTTTAGAAAAATTTGATAGGATGGGAGAATAAGAATGCCAATGTCAAGACCAGAGTTCTCAGTCCTGTAGTCTACTCATATCTCTTAATACATTTTCCATTCAACAACCATTCCTGGAGACCAGCTCTGCTATGGCCACTCTTATATATACTGTGATACAAAGAGCTGCAGAAGCTCTCAGAGAAGAAGGGAGCTGGGACACGTAGGCTTGTGAGCAGCAAACCATTCAAAGCAGTTCAACCAAGCATAATGAGCAGAGGATTGGAGGAGGTAAGTGAGGGATCTGGTTTTAAAGGAGTTTGAACTTTATTTCATAAGTAGTAAGAGGCCAAGAAGGGGTCCAAATGAGGAAAATGACATGGTACCTTCATGGTTTCTAGAAGCAGCAATGTGGAATGTACATTAGCATGGGGGAAGAGATCAGAGCAAGGAGACCAAATCAGAGTCTATCACAATAATCTAAGCAAGAATGTATGAAGGCAAAAACAGTGGGAAGGGAGAAACAAAAGGGAATTGATGTGAGAAATATTCAGTGTATTAGATAGCACTAGAGAAGCAGGAAGGAGGAGCTAAAAATTGCTGTAAATATCCACCAGTCAATTTAGCAGTCATTCCCAGCCTCCTTTTTAAGCTTAACATGTGCCATCTCCCACGGGACCCTCTCCAAGTTGATGTTAGCTTGTTGGGCCCAGAAGTAGATACCCAACTCCAAATGGGCCAAATTTTCTTTCTTGGAAATCTTATAGTAAGTCTTTGAAGCTTGATTGCCCATTCACAGGAGAGTCTTAGAGATTAAGGTTAGCACCATAGAGATTCAAGGGCTAAAGGCCATGTTGGGCTATGAACAAGTAGTTGAATGTAGTATCTTGGGTGGAGAATACAGACGACTCATAAAGAGATCCCAGAGATGGAGCAGGGAAGTGAAGGATAGGGGAAAAAGAGAGGGGAACATAGACAGAGACCTGGATAGTGCATCATAGAATCATAAGAAACAAAATCATTCTTCCTCAGAAACAAGAAGACTTACCCATCACACCTGAAGAAGGTGTTGAGTAGAATGTTATATTCCACTTTAGAGTGGTTCCAGGAGACAGAAGAAGAACCTGGTAAAGAAGACCTTAGGGAGCATTAGGACCCTGTTACCATGCGACCAAATACGACACAAAGAAGCTGTGGCACCTAAGTGCTTTAGATATGTGACAAATCAAAGTGTTGGCCTGTTTTTAAAGAAAGGAAGCCTTTCACAGGAACAATTGGGTAACCACAGCCATTATATTTACATATTCATTTAGCAGTAGTAAATTGTAATGCCATATTTTGGAATTTTCTAAAGAATGTTTGTGGCAGAAGGGTAACAACAAGGCTCATTAAAGAAACATAGAAATAAATATTGTTGGCCATTGTTCCAGGTATCACAGAAATTGGCGAGACATTCCCCCCACGGAGAAGCTCATAACTTCAGACGATGTGGCAGTATAATGTGAAGTGCTATGGCGGAATTTTGAAAAAGAAGCCTTAAGAATCAAAGTAGGGATATTTGCATGAGCCAAGGTGAGATGGAGAAGTGTCTTCCAAGGAGGAGGCATTTGAGTATTACAGGAGAAAGAGAAATCGATTGGACAAGTAAGGTGGAAGAGTACACAGTGATGGAGTTATCACATATTTCCTCTCAACGGTATTTCATACATGTAGGCACTGATCTAAAACAAAACCTAAGCCTCATGAAAGTAGGGTCTATTTTTTTTTTAATTAATGAGCTGATATTTCTCTCTTTGAGTCCCAACCAATCTTTTTTTAATTTAAATTTAATTAGCCAACATATAGAACATCATTAGTTTTTGATAAAATGTTCAATGATTCACTCATTGTGTATAACACCCAGTGAACCAGTCTTAGCATATCTGGTGTTATACTTTCATGTTCGTTAACCCTATGTGAGCTTTGAAGTCCAACACACCTGCCCATAAGTTGTAATTCTGACATTTCCTAGGTGCAAATTGACCGATGTTGTGTTGCCCCTTGACATTTAATCTTTAGCTTTTTAACTTTTCTTTTCTTTTTTTTTTTTTCGGGCTTATTTCTCATTGTAAGAATAGGATAAGCTAGTTTGTACATAGGCTCAAATGACCAGTGCCAAAGACTTTGAATATCCATAGACCTTCCCCACTCCGTGTCTCCTCATGCAGATAAAGCAGCTGGTGACAGGCAGAAGCTAAAACTCCCTTTGTGTCTAAGATGTGATGACTTCATGAAACACAACTGAAAACAGACCAGTTGTTTCAAAAACATGCAATCCCTTCTAGTACTCATCATGCTGTTTTACCGGCTAGCTAGAGAATTTTTCAAACTTTTGTTTTAAACTTCAGTATATATATACATAGACATATATATTTATTTAAAGCCATCCCTGACTTGCCATGACAGGGTTCTTACCAATCCTCTTGGGTCACTGTAGAAATTACCATCATGAGACCATGCATAGAATTCGAGGAGAAAACAGGATGCATCCCTGGAACCGCTGGTCAGATCCTAACAGGTCTCCTTGGAGCCAGAATCCTGTGTCCTCGCCAAGACAGAAGAGCACTGTGGAGACTCCCCAGGGGACTTGCAGACCAGTTGTTTCAAAAACATCATTGTGTAGTTGGGGGAATCCCTTCTTAGAGGGCCTTGAATCAGCTTCTTCTAAAAGCATCATTATCTTCCTGGCTAATCCAGAAGAAAATTAGAACAAAGTGAAATGGTTGCAGATGTTTAAGGAAAATAAGCAAGGCAAAGCCTTTTTCCTTACTGTGCATTAGAAAAACTACCTCTCCAGCGTTTTTGTTTTAACTTTTGAGTCAAAAGCATCTTACCAGTAAGTGTAAGTGTCATATGCATCGTTACGAGAATATTACTGCTATGAGATAATAAGCCATATATGAATGTTGTATACAACTTTAGGGTTCGCATTTAATCCTAAAGTGTTCACCTCCTTTCACCTCTATTTACACTAGATTCCTATTTACTAAGTGGGGAGGGGGCTCCTTTATATAGTGCTTCATTGTTAATAAGTCAATACTTGTTCTGTTTCTGAGATGTTCTCTTCGTGCATTAAAAAACTTCAAAATTAAAAATATATGTATCCCTGTGCCTCAGTGTTCTAAAACTACCCACTTTCTTGGTTGGTTTTGAGAATTATACCATATAAAGCACATAAAGCGCTTAATGCCCTTCTGGTAATACAGAAAATATTTGGAACAAGTTATTTAAGAACAAGCTTATGCTTTATATCCCATCATCCCATGAAATCATCTAAAAAATGTAAATATGTTGGCAAATGTGATTCATTCATTTACTACCTCTTTTTTAAAATATTATAGGAAGTTAAGAAAGGAAAAATTTTACCTATTATGTCTATTCAAACAAAACACCTACCTTTCATACCTCTCCGAAACTCCCTTCAAATTTTTATCCCCTATACCTGCAATTTTATTTTATTTTATTTTATTTTATTTTGTTTTGTTTTGTTTTGTTTTGTTTGTTTTGTTTTTTACCTGCAATTTTAAATGGCTAAAATTCTAGCATATATCTAAGTATATGTTCTGCTCTTTTTTGGCTAACATTATTTACAGACATTTTCTCTTTTGTTACGTTTTCCCTTTTAATTATTGCTCAAAATTCTTTAGTACTGACATATCACAGTTTATTCAGCTTGCTCCCTATTGTTAGCTATTTGAATTGTTTACAATCTTACACTGTTAAAAATAATAATGTATTGCCTTCATTTATTCCATAAACATGTATTGAGCAACTACTAAGTACAAAATATTATACTGCCATGTGGGTTTAGGAAGTTTATTCTGGCAGAAATTCCACTTGCAAGTTTTCAGTCTGGTAGAGTACAGCTAGATCAGCAGATAGATAAATACATGCAGTAAGAGGAATCCCATGGGTGCTATAAGAGGTGCTAAGTTACTCTTCTAGAACAAGGGATTCTATTTGGCTGTAATTCAGGATTAGTTGAAGCAACACACATGGAGATTAAGTGGGAATAGTTAGGGCAGATCACATAAGGTCATGAACTCGGAGTTAGAGACCCTGAACTACTTTCTATGATTGATGGGTTACCATCAATTGAGGCATCATGGAATAATGGTTAGAAGAGCACAGATCCAACAATAAAAAGTTTGTTAAATGAATCATCATATGCACAAATAATGGAGTACTGTGCAGCCATTATAATAAGTGATTGAAGAATAACTAATGGCTTGAAAGTAATTTATAATGTTATCCACATAGAAAAGTAAGATTGTAAACCAATACATCCAGTATGATCTTAATTTTGTGTCAGAAACAAAACCTAAAAAAAAAAAAAAAAAAAAAAAAGGCTGGAAATATTTGCTCAGATTTCTTTGTGGTTATTTCAGAGTATAGGGATTATGAGTGATTTCATTTTCTACTTTGTGCTTTGCTTTCTTTTTTTTTTCATTTTTAAATTGAGCACTTAATATATCCCTGATAATTCAGCATTTGGATTGTTTCCAATTTCCATTACTGGAAGTAATGGTTTAATGAACATCCTTGTACATAAATATTTGTATGGGTCTCAGTTAATTCATGTAAGTGGAATGGAGATCAAGTGGTATGCTTACAGGATATATATTACTTTGTTATTTAAATTTTTAATTAAAAAAAAAAGCATGGGCTCTAGAGTCAGTCTACGTATGTTTGAACATGAATTCCACCACTCTCTATAATCTCAAGCAAGTTACATTAGTTTTGTGTGCCTTGTTCCACTCTTTTTAAAACAAGGATGTTAACTGTACCTTCCTCATGGGTTGCTGTGAAGATTGGATGCATTGATTCCTATAAAGGCTTACAACAGAGCCCAGCCCACAGTGAGTGCTTATTAATACATGTTAGAAACCATGAATTTTTATTGTTGATAATACAATAGAAGTTTTCTTATTTTGTTTTCCCTGATGCATTTTTGTCATTTAATGTATTCTATTATGACAGTATCTTATTTAATTAATCCTTTAATTAATCCATCCCCCAATTAATCTTTTGCTCTCACAATTTCTTCCTATTGCCCTTTTAGAAAACACTCTAAAAGGATAAAACTCGGGTTATGAGATATGAACCTTTTTCTTTTTTTCTTTTTTTCTTTTTTTTTTTTGCTCTTGATATGAAAGCTTACTTGTAAATATTCTTTAAACTACCCAATAGCTAGTCACAATAGATTTTGGCATGGAAGTTAGTTAGAATGTAGTTCTACAGTGTCAAAATCAATTTTGAAGGAACACTGGGATCCCTAAAGGATTTCAAGCATCCCTTTTCAAGGGAATATTACAGCTGGAGCAAGCGTCTGTTCCCAACATTTCCCTCCGGGGCCTCACAGAGATATCAGATGAAAGCAAGGGAAACAGGTCTTTTTTACAAAGTGGAAGGTGCTCCCGTCAGAAACAATTACTTATCACACAAGAAAGCATCCCTTATTTTTTTTGGTTTTTGTAGAACATAATCCTATCACATGAAATATTCTGTTAAACAAAGCCTTACCTGCAAGATGAGACTCCTTTAGAATTTGGAAGCATTCTGTGTGATAGCAAAAGAAATGAGTCCTTCCCAGAATTCTTTGTGCGTCCTCCCTACATATCTGTAACTGATAGAAGAATACTAGTGACTCACAGCAAGGAACTGAGGACTGGAAATCAGGATAGCTAGATTTTAGACTTGTTCCACTACAATCACCTGGAAGACCTTGCACTAATAGTGTAACTTCTCTGAACTTCAACTTTCTATCTGTAGAAATGAGGCATAGAATCAGCAGATGTCCAAGGTTCGGTTTGGTCCAAACATTCCACACACTTTTCCTTTTTTGTTGTTTCCTTCTAGACTTGGCTCAGAGTTAGGAATGCAGAAAGCAGTCATTAAATATTACAACAGAATTCCCCTTAGCACTGAGAGGGAGAGGGTGAAATCCATGTGCTAACATTTTCTCCCTTAACACACCACCCATATTTATAAGGTACCTATACGGTGTGAGTACTGTTACGTGGTTGAGACACATTACGAGCAAAATAGAAACAATCTCTGTCTTTTGAAGTTTATAGTAGATCAGATAATGACCCAAGGGATGATAATTAAGTTTGATAGGTACTGTGACCTCAGGGGTAGCCAGCTTTGAGAGGCTATAATTTTAAAGCTGGACCAATAGTAGAGAAGACATTGATGTATCAGTTCCTTTAGACGACGCTCCCTGGCCATTCCCAACACCCTTAGCTCAGGCTAAGGATGTGTTCCTCCTCGGGGCTCCCATGGCACCCTGTGCTTCTTGCCATCTGATCCATTAATACATTGCTTTGGAAAATATATGGACATATGTGTCTACCCCATCAGACTGCACCATCCTCAAGAAGGACCATTTCAATTTCATTTTGTGCCTCCATCTACAACCCCTAGTGTAGCACACAACACAAATCCTGATATATAGTTGGGACACAGAAAATGTTTGTTGAATAGACACAAGACCTAATCCCTTTATAATTTCAGAAGAGCAGTGACAGGTGGTAGAACTCAGGATATAATCAGAGTTCAATCAGTCCAAGAGCCAAGGTCCACCTCTGGCCGACCAAACACTGTCTTACTTAGAGAATATCCAAATACAGGCAGTTCTTTGGTTACCTTAATTCTCATGTAGCATTTTCTTCTATGGCCCATATTTCTTTAACTTCCTCCTTTAAAAAGTCCCCATTGGAGCATGAAAGCTCAAAGGGATGATGTTGGCCAAGCCCTTTGACCTCTGCAAGAAGATGAACACATACACACACAGAATAACTTGGCATTCCTCTGGCTTTTTCTTTTCAATATTGAGATCTTATCAACATGTGATCAACAAGTGATCCCACTCATTTCAGGATACACATTTCTAATAAACTGTAAAAGGACAAGATGAAAAACGTACTCTAACACAACTCCAAGGTATTGGCATCCCCTTGCTGATGTCTAAAGGCAAACAAGTAGTGTTCCAACCAAGTTTTGCACCTCTGCCACCAGGCAACCTGTTCCAACTTGAATCAGAGAGGAAGTGTTCTGCATTTCCAGCTAGCTTCATGTCTGGGGATCTGCAGGTCAGTCACCAGCTCACACTTCTGCTTCCTCCATCACCTGCCCCGGTTCTATCTTTCCTCCTTTTATTTCTTCAGTTCTTCCTTGCTCTTGCTAAGCTGATCTCTTTGTTCTCTCTGAAAACCCAGCTTTCTTCCACTGCCTTGCCTTTGCAGAGAATGAACTCTGGCACCAATACTCCCCCCATTTCCCAAACCATCTGCACGTATTTAAATCTTTCCCATTTTCAAGGTCCAAGTCACATAGCAAATGCTCCAAAATGTTTTTTCTGAATGCTTCAGCTTAATATAGTTTTTCTCTCTTCTGAGCTTTATATGGAACCCTCTATTTATACATATTCTTCTTATAACTTCCTGCCTGGTGTTCTGGGAGTTCACGGACTGGCCTTATCTTCCCCGCTAGCTGCAAGTTCCCCAAAGGATGATTCATTGCCGTATTCCCAGCACCCAGTACATAAAGGATGCTCAGCACACTGGACACTGTGGCATGGATCGGTAGTCCCCCACTTGGATTTCTCATTCTTCACAATAATAGATGAATCTGGTATTTGCAAGGATTGAAGGAGAACGGACGGGCTTGGTTGCCTTACAACTGCCCCAAATTGCATCCTTTGCTCTCTGCAGTCTGCTCCCAAGATAGGCTGATTAATGGGGGGAAAACATTCAATTCCAAGGAAACTGTGTAAGCAAAGGCCTAGAGAGGTGACCAAGCATTGACTCTTCTGTAAACTGTAGAGTGACTTTGATGCAGAGCCTACAATAGGAGAAGAGATATAACTGGAAAGGTAAAGAAAGCTTCATAGTAGAGATACTCACCCACCCTGTGAAGGGACTGGAACTTTATCCTGTGACCACTGAGGAAGTCACCAAAGGATGTTACACATGTGAGTTCCTGAAAGAAGACCTGGATGTAGCATAAATAAGAGACTAGAAAGGGGCAAGGCGACCAGCTAAGGGATGTTCATTGTGATTCATTGACTGTATGGTTCCTTTTGATTTACCCTGGGGTAAAAGAAGGAGAAATGGCAAATTTGTACAGTATACAAACACTTTTTTTACAATTAAAAAAAATTCTGCAAAAAACAAATGAGCTAAATGTTCACAGAAGCCTTCAAACACCAAGGCAACACGCAAATGTAAGCTACACATCCCCTCAGGCTAAGGGAAGAATGCAGCTTCCAATGAGGTACTGTTTCGAGGCACATCATATTTATTCATTTTATTCACACAGTGACTTACACCTATTTTTATATGAAACATCCATTGTTCCCAGAACATGAGGAGGAGAAGGGTGCTCGAGAAGCTTGCTAAGTGGAAGGAAAGGAGCAAGTTACAGATTGTTAAATTCAAAGGTGTATTTTAAAGTAAAAGTCCAAAGTATTTTTTTCTTTTTTTGATTTAACTCTTCATGCTCATGTGTCTTTTGGGTAAATTTTCATTCATTTCTGTCCTGAGATTAGTGGCCAAACCCAAAGTAAATAACTAGTATTCGCTGAAGAAGGTATTCCCCTTCATCTTAATTCCCTTTTTCTTCTGTTTTGGATAGTCTGTGTTCCTGTGGCTGCCATTTTGAGAGTTCTAAAAATAATATGTAAAGAGCTGATCAGTGAAGAGAAATCTGAGGTGAACAAGGAACTCAAAATCAGTACCTTGAATTATTGCAGTTCTTCTTTTTCACTGGGCAGAACACTTGATGACAATCCACCTGGCAGAAATTCCCGTCCACTTATCTTGTCAAGAACCTTGACTGACATACCATTATATACAGAATCAAGTCTAATTTCCTCCGCAGGGCATTCAGAACCTACATGGATTTGATCCCAAGCAACTTTCCAGCTGTATCTTTCCCTGCTTCCCCACATCCTGGTCTCCTCAACACTCTCCAAACCATTATCCTCATCCTGTGATGATGCTATCTTTCACCCCATGTGTCCATCCATCAAGATCTTCAAACACCTAATGCCACATTGAGATGCCACTTTAGGCACCTCAAGTGAGATGGAGGAGAGGGAATATATCTCAGTCATCTCTACTTGTCCTACAGTGATTAGCCCAGTGGCTGCACACAGTAGGTCCTCGATATTGGCTTGTTTGCTGTTATGTTCCAATCCTTTGTCCATCTACTTTTTCTTACCTGGATCTTTTGTGACCAGATAAGGGTCAGGCCATTGCAGGAGGGCAGGGAAAGGAGCAAAGCCTTATGTGTTATGCATTACATATTAAATTATGTGTTATGTATTCCTCAGGCTCATTCATTCATTATCTGTCATTTAGTAAGCACCTACAATGTGCCAGGCACTGTGCTGAGAACTTCACGTGTATGATCACTCTCTCATTTACATTTCAATGAGCTAGATATTATTACTAGTTTTATTAGTCAAAAAGGGAAACTCGGGCTCAGAGAGGTGGTGCAATTTGCCCAACATCACACAGCTAATTTGTGTCTGATCATAGAACAAAATCTATGGTCTTTCCATTATATGTCATCGCCCTAAGACAAATACCCTGACACAAAGGAGCTCACAGACTTGAAGGGGATTTGAGTTTTATAGCCTGTTCACTAATACCCATTTATTCCACAAATATCACATCAGGCATCAGGAACACAGCTGTGAGGAACAGGCAGTGGTGGATGGGGAAAGAAGAGGAAAACATGAAATCCAAGAAAACCCAAGAAAGCAAAATAACTCATTCAAAAGATAAAACAAAAGAAGTGCATGTGCCTTATTCACATACTTTTTTTTAATTGTCAAATGAGGAACTTTACAAACCTGGGTGGGGTTTTCAACATGATTGGTCTAGCTGAAACAGAGGGGGAAGTGAAAGTCAAAGAAGGGAATGGAACATTGATTTGGGGATACTATCACAAATGTCCTGTTTTGTTTTTCAAACTCCCTAAGATGTGAGTTCAAAGAGGAAATGTCTGACAATCTGCTGGGTAGCCATGAAATTGTATTGCTCAGGTCTCCTTAGATGGGAAGCATAGTTGACTGAATGTTCCAGCTGCTGGATCCGCTACTGTGTTCATGCCAAGGACACACCTCCCACAGGCTACTCTCTGCCAATGACTAAGCATGACAAGGGTTCAAGTCCAGGCCCATTTCTTCAGGACATGGAGCTGCTCACATGGGCAATTTGGGCTCTATCCAAATACTGGATTTTAGAAAAGAACTTCCGTCTCGGACTCTTTCTGCTGGTCCTTTCCTTCCTCCTCTCCTTTCACAGGTGTGAGACCTGCATCAGGGTCTGAAGCCTCTCCCTGCCTCCTCCTACTTCCTCCCTCTTTCTCTTCACAGGTGTTTCCTCCAGTGACTGTCTTGGGCATCTAACCCTGTCTTAGTGTGTGCTTCTCAGAGGACCCAAACATCTACACTAGTCCATTCAGAGTTCCAGGTGGTCAAGTCAGAAATATTTTTAAACATATCCCTTTAGTTAGTTTGAATTGACATGGAGAGTTGGAAAGAACTTGCCATAGAAGAACAATTGTTCTCATGCTCCTTGACCCAAAGGCTTTCTAGCATCTGAAAGAAATCTCCTCTCAGACCAGCATAAGTAACCATAATAATAATTACAACGAAATCATTTCATCTTTTACTCTGCAATAGCCAGTTAAATGCCATGGGTGGGTATTTAAATGCTCATGTTAGAGATTAAGAGGCCCAGAATAATGAGCAGTCTTGCCTGAAGTGACGATGTCTTAGGGGGTAGACAGGCATGGTGAAGATTGACTTTGCCCAGCTCCTGAACACCCCTCTTCTCCATGCTGCCACATGACATACTCTTGGTTAAAGTAAAAGTCCCAACTGCAGGACAGAATCAATTCAGAATAGATTCAATCCTAAGGGGCCATTTTGGGTGACATGATCAGTCAATTCAGCCCAAAGAACTTCATTTCTGCAAAATAAACATCAGATTCTACAGATGTTTTTTAACCACCCTTCAGTGACCAGTCAGAGTCATTCTCGGCAACATGAGGCCCCACCAGGTTCTAAAGATAATCCCAGTGCCCAGCACCATGCCGAGAATGCAAGAAGTGCCTCACACTAAGCTGGCTGTTGTTGGATGGACTGACTTTGGGTTTTCCTAAATGGCATCATCTTTTTTCAAAGATAACAACCACAGATGTCTTTGTAAAAAAAAAAAAGTGCTCATTTCAATGGCAAACTGATGACTATAGCATGTGGCAACAGCAACTACAGACAGCATTTGTTGCATCCTTTCTTTGTTGTAGTCATTGCGCCAGAACCGCCCTCAATTATTGTCCCATTTTGTAGGTGAGAAAATTGAGGCTTGGATGTATTAAGCAACTTGCCCAGGATGTCATAGCTAATAAGTGACAGAGATCAGATTCCACTCAGATTAGACAACTCCTCATCATTCTATCTCCTTCCCAGGGATACTCCAGGATTGAGCATAAAGTCCCCACTTTGGTCCAACAGCAGGGGATAAACAAGACTGAAATCATGAATAACCCAGGATAGTCACTTATTTAAAGAAATATTTCCTAGTGCTTCATTCAAACTAGATTAACAAAGGGATACCTAGAAATGGTGTTTAGACCTTTTGAGCTATGAGCTAAGTGGAAGGGGCTTATAATAATCTCATTAAATGCTTGGTAACAAATGCTTCCAAGATGCCTGGTGCATATCAAACCATATCCCTTTAATATTTTCCACAGATCCTGTTATTTTGTTAACATTCTAACACAGGAGTTTAAAAACTCATAGAGAACTGCCCAGGGAGAGGACTGAAGGGAATGGACTACCTTGGTTTCCTGTCTTGGCTGTGCATGCAGTCCTTGAGTGCATAACCAGCCTCACCTACCTGTCCTCTCCTTGACCACACTGACCAACCTACACCAAAGGCTGAAAATGGACAGTGTGATAGGCCATATTCACCTCTTAACCATGTTACCAAATTTAGGAAGCATCATCTGCAGATAGAAAGAATAGCTCCAGGACTGCCTACATCAGACTCAGAGAAATGAGGAAACCAAAAGAATAAATAGGGGGAAAGGCAAGGAGAAGGATATTCTAGTCATTATTTATCCATGCATTACTTTACTCATTCCCCAATAAATACATATTGAATGCTTATTTTAGGTCAGGCACTGGATTAGGAACTGGTAAACCAAACAGACATAAGAAGAAAATGACAAAAAAGGTATGGCAGACCCTGCCCACCCACGTACCATGCCTCCTCTTTGCTTGTTCTAGCCCCAGTGAATGAATCATGACTCTTCTCAGCCAATCACAGTTACCACACTTCCTTTGGGAGCGATTGGTCTAATGACCAAATGTGACACATTTCTGGTCAATGGCACATAAAAAGAAGTTTGCAAAGGGCCCTTCTTGGGAAGATTTCCTTCCGCAGCATAAAGGAAGTACATAAGGAGGAGGCCCTTTTTGTTGCCTGCTTTCTTTCATCTTGTCTGAAATTATGCCGAGAGGACATGATGTTTAAAGCAGAGGCAGCTGTATTACAACCAAGAGGATAGTCATTGCCGGAACTCTGAGAATGGAAGAATAGAAAGACGTGCAGAGCATGGGTCTTCAATGTCACATCAAAAGGTGACATGCATCAGAATCCAGCCAACATGTGATCAGTTCAGATAGGCTTAACCCTCGGTAAGATTTGTGGAGTGATGTTTTATTAATAACTACAATAGGGCGCCTGGGTGGCTCAGTTGGTTAAGCGACTGCCTTCGGCTCAGGTCATGATCCTGGAGTCCCTGGATCGAGTCCCGCATCGGGCTC